CTGCAGCACGTGTTCGATCCGGGCACGCCAAGGAGCAACCCACATGGCATGGCAGACCTCTCCTGTCTTGCCTGCTGCTCCCTCAGCAGTATATTTCAGTCAGTCTGCCTATTCTGGCCCCGACTCTGTCTCTGGTGAATCCTCTCACTCTCCTGCACATCTGGCCTGTACCCCATTTCTTGTGTAAATAAATAAATCTTTTAAAAAAAAACAACTGAAATCTAATCTCTGTGATTTAAATGAAACAACTCCCTGGTTCCCTGCAAGCTAAACTCATGGTGGCCACTTTCCACTTGAGGAAAATAAGAGTTTACATCGCTTATCCAAATTCATGCTTCTGATAAACGCAATCACACTGAACAACCAAAGTACTGTCTTTATCCTAGGCTAGTCAAGTATTTATGGCTGCTTAGCTCAACTGGTTAGAGGTTGAAGTGCACTGCTAATGAAGTCAACGTCATAAATGTGAAGTTTAAGTCAAGGTTTTCCTTTGATTCATAACTGAAAGTTCAACATTTAACCTTGGCCAGTCAATACATGCTGCTGTTTACAAGTACAGAGTGAAAGAGTGGGTGGTGCAGTATAAATCCATCACTGAAGCTGGAAGTAGGACTCACAAAACACATCTGATAAATTACCAAAATCACCATCTTTTTCAAACAACGATAAATTATATTTAAGTAGGAAGTGATCTATAGTTTCTCGGTCTAGTAGTCAGGTAAAATAAGAAAATGGTTGAGTTCAATACTATCAGTAGATCGTTCTGATATAATCCTTTCCTTGAACAAGCAAGAGAACATATTAAAATTCATGAGTAGGGGCAGAAGTGGAAGTATTGAGTGATTTTCCCACTATGTATAAGCCAGAGGTAAAGAGAAACTAAAACTTAATTTTTCTGACTCCTTGTCTATAGCTCTCTGTTCCAAACTAAGAATTCACTATGGCCCTGAGCCCAAGAAAAGTGATTTTTCTGGCTACCTTCTAAGTGTGTCACTTAAAATTACTCATAAGTTTGAAACAACAGTGATGGAAGTTTTGGGGAGAGGGGTTATTTATACCAGTGGTTCTTACCTGTAGGGAGCATCCAGGATCACAGACCAGGCTTGTTTAACGCTTCCTGGGTACCCACAGCCACAGCTTCTGATACAATAGGATGGAATGAGACCTGACAATTTTCATTTTTAACAAGTTTCCAGGAAAGACTGGTCCTAAGACTACATTTTGAGAACCACTGACTTATAACAATAAAATTTAGAGTAATTAAAAATTCAGAAACAAAACTGCATTCTTTCTTTCTGTCGGTGTAGACAGCCTAACCAAAACAACTTTAGAATTAACCATTTGACAAGAATCAGATTTGGATTTTATAAACGTCTGGAGAAAATTATTGTGGGCAATTTCATTTTGCCTTTTTTCAACAAAGTCCCTTGCTCTGGGTAAGCCGCCTCAAGTTTCTCACTCCCAGCCGGACTGTCAAATCTAACTCCAAATATAGGATATTTGGAAAATACAATCAAATGTTTATAAATGAAATTGATCTTGTGACCACCTAACAACTGTCCTGGGAAACTAGCAGTTCATAGCTCAAATTATGTAAATGCTGCATAATGTTCATAATGCGTCAATGGGAAATACTAGAAGAAGAAACAAACACTCAATTTTGTTATTAGGAACTACCTGGGTGGCACCATTCATTCAGCATTGTTCTCATCCTGAATGAAGTCAGTTACTTTTCCGAGAAGTCAAAATAAATATTAGCAAGATAAGAAAGAAGAAAATAACAAGGAAAGACTTATGTAAATAATTGCCATGTAGCTACTTGTAACATTACTGCAGTTTTTATGCACAATAGCTTTTTTTTAACATTTAAAAAAGTGGCTCTGGATCGTAAATATAAATCATGTTCATCTACTTCCACCGTGACAGAGTCTGCTTCAACAACACAGTTTGCAAGATTTATTGTGTTAGACAACTGTTTTAGAGCCACAGAAGCTGTTTGGGGAGTAGATAAGCAGGCTGACTCGAGAAACGCTAAGTTTACTTCAGTGTGGTCTTTATGGGTAACTCATTCTTCCTGGGATCATTTCCTGAATGGAAATAATCTGCTTTGCAGCAGGTTTTAGTACCTTTTGTTAGAGGTGTTCTGTGCTCTAATTTGTAAGCAAGAACTCCAGACTTCACTACATCAGGTCTCCCCTGAAAGGCCAGTAAGAGCTATGAAAGGACTTTATATAATTTAAGGTGAAAAGTATGATTATGAGCTTCAAAACTCGAAGTGCCAAAAAGCATTTTAAACAGGAGAAGACTGACAGTTGACAGGCCTGTCAAGCGTAATGTGTCTGTATTTGCATCTGACCTGAAAGCACTTTCAACATCTGCAAGAACAAAAAAATAAATAAATAAATCAGTCAAGAAATGTCTTGGAACAAAGGATTAACCACACAGCAAACCGCCTGGTGAAGGCGGGAGAAGTAACTGAATCTTCAGTTGTTTCCCCAAAGTGGACATTCTTTGGAATTAGCTCTATCTTTAGAGTTACATGTCTGCTTTCTGGCAAGATAAAGTAAGGCAAGAGGGGTAAGAGAATGATTAGCACATCTTTTTAACTGCAGTGAGTCCACAGGCACTGGTTCACAGATGAAGACGGAGTTGTCTATCAATTTGTGTGAATATTTCCTTTGTAAGCACATTTGTGATCTGCTTCCGTTTGGTCTGGTCATGGTGTTTATAATCATTTCTTAGAATAAGGGGTTGGAAAAAAGATACCAGTTTCATTAGACTGACAGTAAGCAAAAGTCTCTGCTGACAAAGTTAGGAAAGCAGGAGGCAAAAATATTTTAACCTTGCATGAAATTAATGTGTAGATTTTGCAAAGGCTCATGCCAATTAGAAAAAAGAATAACCATTTCTCTTTAGTTATCTGTCATTATTCTCAGCTGGCACTGTGTATATAAATAATGTGGATTCACTGGGTTTGATTGGAAATTTGAAGTTAATCTTACAATGCTATATAGTGTGTTAAAAAAATACCAAACGTGCCTTTGTAAGAAGGAAAGTTTTAGAGTATTTTTGCAGTATTTTCTAGATATGCTTAACTCCAGTTTCAGTTGTAATTAACATAAGGAGTGCTCTCTTGAAGCTATTTACAGAATGAAGTGTCTTTAGGGGTTAGTAAATTGCATGCTTTTGAGGTAATTTCCTAAGGAAGAAGCTTTTATACCTTCCTATGAAATCTCTTGGACACCTCGTATGGAGCTACAGTTGACGTTCATAAATAACATAATGACTACGTGTCAAAGAAAGAGTGATAAACTCTGGGTCTTCAAAGAAATAGAAGCAGCCCACAAGGTTTCTGTCTTTCTGTTGACATGTTAAAACATAAAATTAACCCACAAAGACATTTTGAAAATATACTTTCTTTTGCAAAGGTGGGTAATTATTTTCAACATTATAAAGCAACTGTAGCTTCCTTGTTTAAAATATTCTGTTTATTGCTATTTTGTTAGGAAAGAAGAAAATTCAACAATGTAATAATATTAATAAAAATCATACTACATGCTATGGAGGAAACAAGTAAATAATCTCTTAGTCAACACTCCCTGGAATTTAATTATTATAAATTATAAAAGGACAAATTCATGTATGTGAGTCAAAACTCTTTAAATTAGAACTTAATTTAAATACTTTTTTTTTTTAATAGAGGCATGTTTTATTTATTTATTTATTTGTTTGTTTTTGTTTATACATGCACTGGGTACAGTCAGAAGCGCGGGAGGGTGAGAGAATTCACCAGAGCCAGAGCGGGGAGCAGAGCAGGCAGAAGGACCGAAGTACACTGCTGAGGGGAGCAGCGGGCGGCAGGAGAGGTCTGCTACGCCATGTGGGACCCTCCTCTGGTGGCCGGGGAGCAGCTGGGGATCGAACCGGTGCCGCAGAGGCCGCGGGCAGCTTCGCAACCCAGCGCTCAACCACTGCGCCACCAGGGAGGCCCCTTAATTTAAATACTTTTCACATTTTTGACTAACATCATGGGCAATAGGATCACATCTTCCTGATCTTTCTGTGATGCTTTTCCAGGTTAATACAAATGTGACTCACTGCTGTTCATGAAAAGATTTATCACCTGATGGTAGCTTAGTGCAAATATCCTATAGGCCTGAAAGTTCCATTTTGTTTATTAATTTACTGGTTTATTTAAGAACAAATACTTTAAAATAAAATTTTGAAAAATTATTTCCTCAAAAGCTATTCATTGTACAAATATAAAATATTTTGAAGACTTATTTATTTATTATGTGTATAGAGGAACTGGGGTGCAGGCCAGAGATGTGTGGGTAAGAGGATTCACAAGAGACAAAGTAGGGATCAGAACAGGCAGATTTACTGACATACATTGTTGAGGGGAGCAGCAGCGGGCAAGACAAGAAAGGTCTGCTGTACCAAATGTGGGTTAGCTCCCTGGCCAGAAAGCAAACTCAGGCCAGGTGATAGCATGGAGACTTAACCCTAATGGCACCAGAGAGGTCCCAAATATAAAATATTTTGAATTGGTTGCCAAGACAGTGTGATATTTCTTTTGTTTCTATTTTGGTCAGAAATATTTACTATAGAGACAAGTTCATTCAAAATATATATAAAATGATCTAGAATAGCATGGCAAAATATTTTTTATTAGTTTTTTTTTTTTTTTTAAGTATCTGCTGCAATCTTAGGGGTGTGTGTGTGTGTTTGGAAGGGCATATGCCAGCATCACAGTGAATTTCATTGGGTGTTTCAATTACTGGAAATGTTTAGTTTTTGAAAATATCTTTCTGTGTTTTCCTGTGATTTTTGTAAAAGGGGTGTTTTTCTTTTACAATTAATATAAAAACTACAGAAAATTAATAAAAAAAAACCCTAAATCGAATTAAGTGAAGATGTTTCCTATTTAAATTCTTTGCTGCTTAAAACGTGGTCAATATGCTGTTCCAATGTTGACATCTTTTTTTTTCCCACCCCAGACAAATGGGCTTTTGTTCCCAAGTAGTTACCTGCAGTTGGAGGTAAAGGGGTGCAGAAACATCTCCTGTGGGCTTAGTGCACGTAGATCAAGGTAAGAAACCTGCACACTAAAGCAGATTTCATTGTCTGTGGATTAAATGTATTAGTCCTTATTGTAAATATGTGTGCCATCAGCTGTGGGTTAATTTTCCCCTTTAGGAGAGGTGTGAGGGAAAAATGACAAAACTTAATCCTAAAATTACCTAATTCTGAATCATACATAGTCTCCTCAGAAGATGTTGGTTGAACTGGTTTTTGGTTATTGGTGTTTTTTTTTTTTATTTCATTTGCTCAGATTAGTAAATAAATCAACTTTCATGCTGTCATTTGGAATGCTGAACGATGAATGGATTCAGCAGAAGTTAGTTGATTTTCGATGATAGGAACCTGAAATGTTTTCCTTTTTGAGGATTTAAAGTATGTAGAAAGCGTTTAATATAAGAAGGGGAATTCTTTAGCAAAAGACATTAATTTACAAGCTACAACTTGTGTTGAGCCCTGCTGAAGATTTGGTGGTGGGTGAACCCTTAAAGCAATACGAATTTCTTTACAGGGCACCAAATCCCTTCCATCAATGGTTTCCAAGTCCCCAGGGCTAATAACTCTTTCTACCAAAAATAATAAATATCAGAAATCTGTGTAACAGTTGTTGATTAAGGAAATAGATAATACCAGAAAGTTATAAATTCACTGTCTTTGAAATAAATGTTTTTTTTTGTTTTTTTGGGTTTTTTTGGCAGGGGGGGACCCTCGCCGGTGGCCGGGGATCAAACTGGCGCTGCAGAGGCTGCGGGCAGCCTCGCAACCCAGCGCTCAACCATTGCGCCACCAGGGGAGACCCACAAATGTTTTATTTTTTAAAATCCCAACAGCATCCCTCTACATTTGAAAATATAGGTCATTTATTAGGCAATTTTATAACTTTTGATATATAATGAAGACATCATATTATAGGAACAAATAAGCAATATCGACAAAGTGATATCATTCAAGTAATTGAAATATCCACAAATTAGTCTTGCTATTTGTATATTTTAGAAAGTAAGACACGTTTTAAAATTTCAATTGCAGATTAAAATACCTGTTTTTAATGTGTCTTATTTCTTGATCTATTTAACACAGAGAGAAGTCCAAAAAGAACACATGCAGAAAATTTGAGAAATGAACCAAGTTGGTTATTACTATTATGCATTTTTTTAAAATCAAGGGTCCAGAACTCTCCCCATGCTTGCAATTTATTCTTAACAACTCATATGGTGATATTTCCTCTGAATCAACATCTGATGCTATGTTCCAGTGTCGACTGACCTAGATCCAAGATTCAGTTTCTTAGCTGATTTCCACAAAAGATCAATTTGAACCAACAATTTCATGCATTGCAACACATTCCTGAAGTTTCCCAAGGTTGTGGGAAGAGGTCACATCCCATTTTCCCATTTGACTACATCTACCCAACTCACTTTCTTCCTTTTCTCTGACGTCCCAGAGTAACAGGCCATCCTTATTTATTGGAATGAACCCTTAAAAAGAAATTTTATTCTTAAGTAAAATCATCAAGGTATATTTTCCAAACAAAAACTGTTCTTACTAAAGAATTCTGTTGTAGATGTCAGACAAATAATACTTTTGATCCTGTGTAATTCCGCTGGACTTCATTATACATTCCCATTTAGGAAAAACCAACTCTGCATCTACTTTGTAAAAGGAAGTGTATAGGAATGAAACTTTGAGCAAAGATGCTACTTCCTAATCTACCACAAATGGAATAACATTCTCTCTCATACCAATAATGAATGCCAAGAATGTGAGGAATCTGCAAGGATTTTTAATGTGAAATGCTACTGTTTCAAAATTCAGAATTATTCTGAATATTTAAGTGCTCAAAATCAATAGACTTTTACTTTTACCTCTATTTACCAAACTGATATTTATTATAATTTATAATTATTTCATTAAATCTGAAGATTGTCACTAAGACATAAAACTTGATGTTCTTTCCTACAGGAAACTGATTACCTCAAATAATCTATCTTTGAAGAAAAAAATAGCTCTTAATATTATCAGATAATTTAGTTAGAAAATTAGTCATGAATAAAAACTGCAAGAAGACAGGCATTTTGTCTGTTCTGGTCACTAAAGTATCTAAATTCCTGGAACAACATCTGCGGTACTCAATCCACATTTGGTAAATCAATTAACATGAAATAATTTATAGAACTTCATTTATCTGATGAACATGTATTATGTATCTATTTTATGTCTAGTTGATTGTAGATGGACATATTCAATTTATCCAATTTTATTTTTAGTTTCCAAAAGATTAAAATTTCCATCACTTTCTGAGAGAGATAAACAGCTTCCCCTTGGCAACCAAATACTTCGTTTCTCTTTTTATCTCTCCTCACAGCTCAGTCTTCCCAGGTTTGCTGACATTACTGACGTATGTTTAATTGACCATTATCTTTTCTGAACTGTATGACATGCCCTAAACACAGATTCATGATACAGGCATGAATTTTTGAATTGTTTTCAAGGAACTAATAGTTTTGTGATTTAGGCATAATAATTGCTTAAGTATAGTTTCCCATGGCATTGGCTTCTTATATTTTTCACTGACAAATATTGTTACTGAAAATTTTTATTTTCATTTGGTACCTTTTCAGAATGACTGTCTTTTGTGTTTCCATCCTTTTGATCAGTACATTGCTAAACTAACATCTAACTGTAAACTGAGAAACATTTTACCTAATTAGCGCATGTAATTCTCACAAAATAAAATCTCCATGACATAAACATCGTTAATGTGTCCATAATATGGATCAAAGACAAGGTTACACAGTCACAATGCAATGAGATTTGACCTTGTTTATTGTGACTCAAATTCTTATCCACTCTGCTATTAGATTCATTTTACTGGCACTGTAAGTACTTCTTTTACTGGTTTGAAATTCTGTCTCTTTTGTTGGTCTATAGCACAGGAGAAACTTTAGGGGTGGGAAGATTCTTGTTTTTCTCCACGGTTGCTGCAGAAATATATGCTTAAATTAAAAGGACGTATTCATTGCCGACCTACCAAATACCCATTCCTATATTTCCCCTTCCTAAGAACAGCCCGGTTTTCCTTTGGGGCGTCCATCTTCCCCGTCGTGCAGCAGGCGTGGGGTCTGGATGGAATCATCCCCATTTCCTGCTCTGGGTGTGCATCCTGACTGGTGTCCCTGGACCTGCTAATACAATCCCTGATGGTGAGGAAGGATGAGTCATTTAGATTAGCATCAATCAGGACATAATTTCATCGGACTTCAGTAATGGTTGTGGTCGGTCCAGAGTGAAATTCAAGCATTTACACCATGATGGAGGGAAGAAAAAGCCTCTACTTGCCTCTGAGTAGCGCACATGCAAATGAGTATGGAAGGGCTGTAGCTGCTTTATCTTCATGGAAACCGGCCCAAGACAAGCCAATACACGGAGGGAGACAAAGCCAAGTAAACTGCCAAGAAATGTAGCCAGATTCCAGGTCAGACCGTGACTAAAGCCCACTCAGTACAGCTGAACTAATAGTTATATATGCTAATAAATGTGTTCTATTGTTTGAATAGGTTTTTATGTTACTAGGAACTAATATCGACCACATCAATATAACCACTCTCACTTTTATTTCTAAAATTAATTTTTCTTTTCTTTTTCTTGACCAAGAATTTTATCCCAATTATTTTCTTTTGAAGGATACCTCTTATGTTTAATTGTGTGTTGGAGATAAGATTAATTTTAAAAACTCATTTAAATTTGTTTCTAGGTTTCTCTGACTTCCTAGTCTTTTCTTTCTCAGAGCTCAATTCCCTTAAAATTCTTTTCTTGTGACCCATTTATTAGTGTAATGAATTATCACAGTTCAAAGTCAACAGGAGCAAAGTCACCTCCTAATTTTACCTTGCAAATTAATTAGTTCCTGCCAATAAGCTGTAAATATATATGGATTTGCCTCCATCCACAAAAACCATATAATGTTAGTGGTGGAAGAAACCTTCGGGGTCATCTAATCCTACTTAATTATTTTACAGATGGGAATATAGGAGCCAAAAGAAATTAAGTGACCTGCCTAAGGTCACACAGTTAATGGCAAGTCTCCTGTGATTTCTGGCATTTTCCATTATATCATGCTTTCTCACATGCAATGAAGCCTACCAAAATTAAATAAATAAAACTCAGTATTTCAGGAGTCTAGTATAATTCCATAATGTCTGGTACAATCAATGTGCCATAAGCCATGGAGGTAACATTAAAAAAGCCACTGATTAAATTGAATGGATTTGCAAATGGGGTCAATTTCACTCTGCTTAAAATTGATTTGAATTTTTTAGTACTGAAAATTAACTTTAATACTTTATGGATGAAAAAGTTGACTTTTAATGAGAAGAAAATTCATTGGAGATAAAATGTAGATTGTTTTTATAAAACAACAGGAAAATTTTAGGTATGAAGGAACAGGATTTCTACTACACTTTTCTTTCCCTGCTATAAGACACCGATGTTTAATTATTAAAATCTTTTTTTCACATGCTTCCTATAGAGCAGATAGACATTCCTCTTTTGTTCTCCTCCTCTGTAGCATGACTCTTAAATCTCTCTGATTTTCAGAATCAGCCTGTGGGCTATCTAAAATTGCAGTGACTCAACTATATCCACAAGCAGAACTTCAGAAAGAGTTCTCAGATATCTGTATTGTTTTAAAAGCTCCTCTGGTGATTCTCCCAGTTGATCAAGTATAAGAAACAGCTTTATAGAATTCTATAAAATATGTATCTGGAAATGTTTTAATATTAAAAGAAAATTCCAGCATATAAACACACACACACATTCATTCTGTGAATAATGAGTGATGCCTGGAATAGTTATTAAGAGAGTAATATTTTGGTGCTGGTGAAAATAAGCACGCAAACAAAAGCTGACTCTAAGGTGCCCTTGACCATGAGATGTATCAATGTTTATGTACCTAAGAAAATTTATGTAGTTAAGAAAAAAAGTTACTAATTGAGCCACCACGCCAACAGTTGTATGATACCTTATCATCCCTATTTCCAGATGATAAAAACGTGCATTTTAAAATTGATAATGTAAGTCAGTTCTCCTCTTAAAATTAGGGTTATAATGGTGTCTGTCAGGTTGAACTGAGTAAAACAGGGACACTAACTTCTAGGATACTAAAAGAAAGGGAAACCCATATTAATGATCCTATCAATCTTACTAAAACGTCTGTGTGAGTCTTACATGCATCTATATCTAAGACTTTTCTGATAACTTAAATTCTACCCTGCTGAGCTTTGAGCTGCCATGATATCTTGGGGAACTTTGGATAAAATTGATGGCAGGATGAGTCCCTTGATCTATATGTCTGGACTTTGACGCATGCCACACACGGAGACACACACACTTCTCAGAGAGGTCACTAAGATGCAAAACATTAAAATTAAAGTATGCTAAAAACAAAGTGACAATTCACAGGGGTAACACGCAGTTGTTATGGTGCATTGATGTCAGCGAATTTAACTTTTAAAGATTACTATTATCATTATTGGTTATACCATAATAGTAGTAGTTGCATTATCTGTTAGGTGACTCACCTTGGTTCCTATGTCTAACAGTAGAAATATTTTTAATACCAAGATTTATCAGTTTTTCTTTTTAATAGGTGAATTGTTATTTTAAAATACAGATTAATTTGTAGTCCCAAGATAAATCTTTTTTTTTTAAAAAAATATTATTTATTTATGCATACAAGAACTGGGGTACAGGCCAGAGGTATTAGGGGTGAGAGGAGTCACCAGAGACAGAGTGGGGAACAGAACAGGCAGAATGACTGAAATATACTGCTGAGGGGAATAGTGGGAGAGCCAGGAGAGGTCTGCTGCACCATGTGGGTCACCTACCTGGCCAGGGATCGAACTCATGCTGCAGTGGCTGCAGGTAGCTTCACAGTGCTGCATCTTAACCCCTTGAACCACCAGGGAGGAACCTTGGGTGCTCCTTTTCAATTAGGGTGTCCATTTTCATTATTCCTAATTGGAGGTAGACTGCCTCTATATAGGTTTTGAAGTCCGAAGTAGGGAGATGAACACAACTCAACATACATTTCTGCTTCTTACTACTGAACTTCAAATATTGATCCTACCCAATGCCCAGGACCCAGCTTTGCTTGGCTTTCTTTACGTTTGTCTGCAGCCTTTAGAGCTCCCCTGAACACAGTCTGGCCCAGAATTTCACT